TTGACTTTCATAGTGAAGCCCATCATGCGAGTTACGGATCGCAGAATGGATATAAAAGCAGGGGATGGACGAACCGGCGGCTGAAATCAAGCCAGAGTAAAAAAAATGCAAAGCTCAATCAAATGTATAAGACCATTTCAAATTCGCTTCTATTCAGCAGACGCAATCAGATCTTAAAAATATGAAGTCATGGCTTAATCTACTCAAGAAACAAACAAAATGCCAACAACTGACTCGAGGATTCCTTTCATCATCGATGGAATTTCATATTTTTTTTTTTTGCACTCACATTCGGATATTGAAAGCTCTTTTCCTCCAAACGAATCCCCCGCCGAATTGCCGGGCATCCAACGCAATGAGTATGACGGACCTAACCTCGTCCGTTAGTTCGTTTGTTCGGATGGAGATTCGTACTCACACACTAACAGGGCATTCGCTTCGGCTTTTAATTTATGCTGATAGTGTAATTTATGTTTTCGATATTCCTCCTCCCCGCACAGCATCTTTTTCGCCGCCGGAGCCAACGCGCACCCAAGTCAATGTTTTGATGATGTTGTCGATTTAAAACGAAACCTCTATAACTCCACCAGATCCATTCGAATCTCAACCTTTAAGGCTTGGATCGCACTGCGCGCTCACACCGGAAATGGCCATCAACGCAACGCGTGCGAGCCCACAGTTGCCGGGATTTGTCGGGGAAGAAATTTGGAGCTTAACCATCTGTCCCGAGCTTTGATGGACAACAATCCTGCCGAGCAGGCACACGCGAGGTGGTTGTCCATCATAAAAAAAAAGAAGCAGACTGTGCGCGGAGGGTTGGGCGTCGGGAATTAGTGTCATAATTATGTCGGGTGAAGACTAATTTAAAAATCTGTCCATCACGGGGCTTTTGGGCTCCAAGAGCGTTTGTTTTGAAACGGACGATAATCATTGGTTTCGGGCGGGCAAATGTGCGAGACTATTTAGTTGAGTTGTTCTGACTGAGGGTGACCTCCTCCTTCTTCCAATTATCGCAAGCGGTTGCGGTGGAATGTCCGCACTGCGGATTGTGACATTTCTTCGTGGTGCTTGGAAAGCATCAGGTTTGAAAAATGGACCGAATAGGAAGGTGTGGGGATTCCAAGATGAGTTATGGTTATGAAACGAATGTCTATTAATAGGTCCCCCTCCCCGTCCAAAGCAGCAAAAGTGTCTTGCGGGACGGGTGGCTATGGGAGTGCGTGTGTGACAGAGAATTATGTGCCAAAGCGGGACCTCACTCGCTCCCCCTCTCGGAACTGGAGTGTGTCTAGAGAATTAATTCATAAATTATGCTGATGAACGAGGTAAGATTCGGACCGGGCCGCGTAAGTGTGTATATTTGGACCGGGCATGCCAGGGATCATTCTCTTCCGTCGTCGTCGTCGTCGTCGTACGGCTGCTGCGAAGGTGCGACAGCCAACTCTTCTTACACTTTATCGCTGAGCGTTCTTTTGTAGCTCTTAAGAGTTTCTTCTTTCCCGGGGTGGTGTATTTTTAATATTTTGTTCCCTTTTTCTTGTTCTTGTTACTGATGGGTTCGCGTCGTTGTTGTTTCGAACGGCGCGCGAGCGTCGTTGATGGCTTTGTAGGGTGTGGAACGAAGTCTCGGGTGTGATACGGCAAACAGGTTTTACGGTGGGCTTTCGCCTGATTGTGTGTGGCAGCAGCCTGGACGAGACGGAACGGAACACGGGCGGTAAAGCGAATGAGGGAGAATCACTTATTGTGTCTGGGCTCCTCGACAGATCTCTATGAACTTGAAGGAGGAGGAAGATCATCACGACTCGGAACGCACCTCTTCCGCTGTTTTGAGTAAGTCGAATAATGAAAAGTGCATTCGCATCATCATCGTCATCATCCACTCCCGGAACGGTGATACCAGCCAGCGCTGACAACACCGGGATTGCTCGTGTAAATACACTGGCGAATAAAGATATGCGCAATTTCACTGCGGCTGAAAATTGTTTGAACAATATTGATCGCTAAGCTCGCTGAACTTGAGCAGTTCTAGCGAGCTTTTCGTCAAATAGGTGTTAAAGAATGTAATTTTTTAACCCTCGAATGCACTGAAATTTCGCCCACCACTGTACTGATTGGGATTCTAATTTATTCCACTTTTAATATGCTGTCACTTTAAGAACGTATTCAATCATATCTGACCGAGGAGCGCAGTAGCAGCAGCAGCAACAGCAACTTTGCAATAGGGACCGATAGAAGGCTGATGAGTCAGGTTTTGACATTGTGTTATATCAGGTACCGAACCCGGGGGCCACACCTGGGATGACGGTGTGAGTTCACCGTGATCCTCGGGAACCCGTTCCCAGCTTGGGAAAGGATTGTAGCCGCCGGGCGGAGCGGGCAAACGATGCAGTCCGTCAGCGGAAGGAAGATAAATTTAAAAATAAATTATTACATATGCTGAATGATCAGCTGCTTTGCCTAAGATGACGACGACGTAGGGACCAGAGACCAGGGAAAGGGCTCGCCCTCTTCTTGAGATTGCAGTGTGTCTTTCTGGCGCGTAATAAAGTCATAAATATGACGCGCTAGTAATTTAGAACGTTTTTAAGTGCGGTCCCGTTATGATTGCACTCAGCTGTTGGTTGTGCTTGGGTTGTTCGTTTTTCGTTTATGGTTGTATGTGTGATTATAACGCAAAAATGGACAATGTCCGAGCGATAAGATACGGGGTCATTTTTGGAGAGAGAGAAGTTCATGTTTTGGACGATAAATCTTGATACACATATGACAAGCTTCATTAAATTGAGCGAGTGTTTTTTTATGAGTTCCCATTTGTCAAAGAATAATTTGAATAGTGTGATTAACAATTAATTACTTCTTCTAGCAGTTTTAGGGCAACTAGAGATTTTGGAAAAACGAAGAAATTAACTTCAGCATTTGTTTTGGAAAACATAAACATGCTGCAAAAATTTAGAAATACTGCTCCATGGTAATGATCTAGTGGTAGGAAATGTCATGGTTCATGTTGAAGATATGCAAATTTCAGCGATCAATTTTTATCGCGAGTGAACTGTGCTCGTGAACGAAACAAAGGGCGTAGTCAGGGTTCGAAAAATAGAGGGGTAATTATGGCTGATTTTTGCAACACATAAAAGTAGCTGAAATCGCAAAAGAATTTTCAAGTCCTAATATCAATACAATTTGATATTTGTACACACTTTAAAACAAAAATACTTGAGCATATACCCATTTTACCCATTGAGAATTGCATATTTGTGAAATCGGTGACAGTTATTCTGAATCACCCTGTAGCATTGATAACACCATGAAAAACAATGGCAATTTCGATTGAAAATAAACCTGTAAAGTCAATTTAGTGTGCCAGTTTGCGTGGGCAAGAGTTTTCTTACATGTTTCAATGGTTTTATCAAATCTGTGCGGGTCTTATGAAAATTGCATTTCAATGCTGAATTTCTTGTATTACTTCGCACGTTACAACCATCATTATTTGTCAGTAAGCGACATCTGGCAGCAGTTTTTGCGGCAATTCTTCAATCGGACACTTCACTGACAATGTACTGACAGAAAATACTAGCCAGCGTTGGTGACCGACAAGCAAGCATTGAGTTAAATTTTCAGCTCTACACGGCTTATGGATGGTGAGACTTGCGCCTCTCAAATTGTTAATTGATTTTGCAGATGATGGTTCACTGAATCTTCTCCTCTTATCCTTCCAAATACTTTGAACCAATAACAGAAGTTCTAGAGCAACCGGCAGCTATTTGTACGTATCAATGCAACAGGTAGCTCCACCCACTATGGATCAACCCTCTATCATCCATCCGTCCGTTGTTTTTGATAAAGATTTATACTTTTCCATGCTGCAACTCGACCTACTCCGCGCCTCATCATCCAACAACAGCGTAATATTACGAATAACAAAAACACACAACAGCGATCCTCATCATCATCATCGTCATCATCATTTCACAGTCCATGCTCTGGACTGGTCCAAAACTACAACCGCAAAACCAAACCAGACACCGGGTCCTGATCTTGGGATGGAAACGACGACGACGACGACGATGGCAGCTCGTGAAACCTAATTAGAACCCTCCGGTTTTAATTACCGATTCGACTGATTTATTCCTACTGCCTGCGCCCGGTAGCCATCATTGCCATCATCTTTCTCTGGGACCGCCGTTTCACTACATCAGCATCACTGCGCGCGATCAGGTCCATAGCCGGTCCGTCGAGATCGCGTATCGCTGGATTGCCAGCTGTTTGCTACTGTTAACTGCGGCACACAATGATGATGATAAAAAGCAGTAGTTGAGCGAGTGGCCCCGGTTGAGAGCATCTTTCATAACAAACTTGCTTCCAGTGAGTCTCTTATCTTGGAAGAGTGTGAATAAGCACTTTTTGCCTTCGGTTTAGGTTCTAAATTGAAACGAAGGAAGTGACTGTTTAGCGTGCTCGCAGTTGCCCAGTTGATACTCAGCAAACTCACTTTTGCTTTCTTCTGGACTTTTGCCACGCCGAAATGTAACAAAGTACACAATCAATTAATTGTTAACATCCAGCTAATTGAAGAACTGGTAGTGTCACTAGAAACCGAAGGAAGTGATTTTATTACCCTGTTATGCTAACAAGAGCACCGACTCTGGACGAGCAAGAACGAAGCGGGAAAACATTCGAACGAAATCAATAAAACCAGCCAAAGACAAGGCGTAAAAATCATGCACCGAGTGAGATTTAAATTTATTTTAATTTTATGCACAAAACGGAAACAGAATTTCGAATGCTGTCAAATTAAAAATGACCCCCTCGTCCTCTCGCGCTTTCGCGCGCACGCTCTCTATCTCTCTTTATCTCTTGCTCTCTGTGCAAAGCTTTCGATTGGAATTTATAGGTGGCACTTTGTCTTAATTATAAATTTAAATATGTAAGAGGTTAGAACCCCGACCAATATGATTCAAAAACTTTCGTTTTCTTGTTTTCCCTTTCCCAACGAACAGGATCCATCGAGTCGGACGATCTCTCGCTGGAACCCCAACCTGTATCCAGTCCGTGCGCAAGCCTGTGCAGTCCGACGAAACAGGAACGCAGCACCCCCCAATCGGTGGTCATCGAGGAAGAGGCTAGCAATACCAGCAGCAACGCAATGTACCCTTCACATCACCCCGCAGGGGCGCATTCTTCGTCACATCACAGCAACAGCGTCAGCCAAGAGATGCATCACGATCACTCCATGGAGCACGAAGACACCAAGATCTCCTATCGGGGTATCTTCACCACTACGGCCGGTCCCGGTATGGGACTGCAGACAGCAACCGGTTCGCAGCTCTCGATCATGTCCGGTCAGATGTCTCCGACGTCTGGCCTCAGTGGTTGGGGTCTACCCAGCCCGGACAAGAGCCTATTTCAGCCACCGATGTTCGGCCTGCTCGGTCCTGGACCTCAAAGCTCAGCTCAAGCTCACTTTGCTGTAGCTCAACAGTCCGCTGCTCAAACCCCGTCTCCGGCGGGACATCATCAGCACCCCTCCCATCACTATAGCACAGACGAACGAACTCATCAGCAGGTAGAACTACTTGGTCTGAACATGGACTGTCCCAGTATCATCCTTAAGCAACCACCCAGCTATGCCAGTTGCGTACCTTCGCTGGACATGCAAGCTCAACAACAACAAGCCCAAGAAATGCATCAGTACTCTCGCAGCCAAGCCTTGGGCATGGGTCAAACCCCTAAATATCAATGGCTAGACTCACCCGTCGAGTACGGCAGTCCCCAGCACAATGTAGTCATCCCCGGTCCTTCATCGACCTCCTCAACCGGCATTATTCCCAAGCAGGAACCATTCAGCTCATCCCAGTGCCCGGACGTCAGCCAGCTTAGCCAGTTGACGCCACAGCAGCAGGCTCAATACGCAGTTCAGCTTGCCGAGTACAATCCATCCACAAGCAAAGGCCACGAGATACTCAATCAGGTGTACCAGCAGTGCCCGATGCCATTGAAGCTAGTCCCAGTGAAACCGCGAAAGTACCCCAACCGCCCGAGCAAGACTCCCGTTCATGAGCGGCCGTACGCCTGCCCGGTGGAAAACTGCGATCGGAGATTCTCGCGATCGGACGAACTCACCAGACATATCAGAATCCACACCGGACAGAAACCGTTCCAGTGCCGGATTTGCATGCGATCCTTCAGCCGATCAGACCACCTAACCACCCACATTCGGACGCATACCGGTGAGAAACCGTTCTCCTGCGATATCTGCGGCCGCAAATTTGCCCGGTCGGACGAGAAAAAACGCCACGCCAAGGTTCACCTGAAGCAGCGGATAAAGAAGGAGAAGAACAGCCACGGCACCAGCAGTAGCAACAGTGCAAACAACAACAACAACAACAACAGTAGCAGTAGTCATCACCTTAATCAGCAACAGCAACAGCAGCAGCAACAACAACAACAACATCATCACCTATCGGCTGCCCAGCAGCAACACCACCACCATCATCACCCGGCCAGTCTTCACTCACACCACCTCCTCCATGACGACATTAGCGGTATTCCGATTGTGTCCTCCTCCAGTGCGGCCAGCTTGTAGACCGAACTTTCGTCGATAGACGTTATGCGTTTGAATGATCCCCAGATAGAGCTAGTACACGACGATCCGTTCATGGGCTACATCGAAACGGCTCGACCCGGTTCCAGCGGAACGACATCATCTCATCGCCGACGCGCACCGCTGGATTCGATTGCCGATGGCGAAGACACTCCTTCCGTGGTGGACGATGCCGACGAAGACGTCGACGTAGGCGAGGAAAGCAGTAGACATCCTCCACCGCCGCCACCGCCACCGCCACCCAGCGTTAGTGTTAGTGCCAGCAACAATAGGGATAATGACGGCGCAACCGCCTCCGATCAGCCGATTGTGATTGTTCTCCTAGTTGAGTAAGTAGCGAAAGATGTAGCTTATGCTTCTTTCCGCCTCCCTCCGAATAAACAAAAGGTGCCAAAGCATTCACGCCGTGTGTCAATGTAGAACGCAAGACCGCACACAGACCGTACACAAAATACAGAGCTATCACAAAATACAGGCAATCATTCAATGCGCAAAATGTCACTCGACGGCAGTCGTGACACAGTCAGAAGTAGTGAACAAATCAAGGCAAACAGACACACATACATGCAAACTTAAAAGAAAACGGACTTTCCCGCCTTCTGATCTGTCTAAAAAATCAGGTTTGGAAAATTCCGCTCACAACAAAATTTTCTACAGTGCAACTTGTTGATGTTTTCCTATTTGCCATTGTCAAAATTACGTGCACTCATATATACTTAAGTGTTGAATGTTTTTTTCTACACATCAATTCAAATCGAGATCAATTCCGGTGCACGCTACTTTTCAAAACGGGCACTTTTAGATGTTCAACACGAGCCAAAATCATTCACTCAATCGAAAATGTAGGTATGTGCTGTCTTTTGATTTTGATTCACACGCACCCACATCCACACACACACATACACAAACAATCAAAATCAACACATACCCAATGTCTGTCTTGGGTCCCACGCACAATCGTCCCCGCGCTCTCGAGAATCGAAAGAAAAACAAGATTTTCGTAAAAGAAAAAGAAAATAACAAAAACAAAAATTGTTCTTTACTACAATTTTATCTCTAAACACTGTGATCTCAATTTATATGTAAAAGAGAACGAAAAAATAGACTTTTAATAAGGGAAAATGTTAGTACTGTAAAATGAGGGAAAACGAAGAATTTAAAACCGGCTGAAAGAAAGTGCGCACGCAAAAGTTCTATTTATTTACCGAGCGCAAAGCAAAGCCAACACACGTACTGTCTGTTGTTTTGGGATAAAAAGGGCAAAACAATAAAGCTGAACACACACACACACATACATACACCTAAACACACTGTTAGTAAAACTACTGTCCGTACCGTACTAATTGCGAGAAACAAACAAAAAGAAGTGTTGAAATTACTACACTCAAGAAAAATGAAACTTAAATTAAGTGAAAGTTATGTTGTGATTTCTCTTCTCATATATGCACAAGTGTTACACACGAACACATTTGCTTCAAATATCAAAATCACACGAAATGGAGATAGAGAGAGAGAGAAAGTAGGAAATTTCTTATAAAGAATACAAACTGTACTAAAACAAATGTACTAAAACGGAATACTTTAACGATAAAGCTGTAGTTAGCGGATTTTTATTTTCATCTTAAACGAATGAAATATTTATAGAATAGTTACTGACACATAACAGAAAACAAAAACAAACAAAATGCAGCAAAAGGTGACAATCGTGGTTGTCATTTTTCCTCGATTCGTTTTCGCCGCCAGTTTCCTAGAAGCTTTCGTTTTTAGTACTTTATTTTCTTCGTGTACAAACCGGAGCTGAGCAAATCGCACTCACGAATGCGCTGCCATATTAAGATATTTTGTTTTAGTTGCTTTCAAACGTGAATGATTTTATTTTTTAAACAGAAAAGCACACGTGTACATTTCAAACGAGGAAAGAGAGCTCTTCCCCAGGTTCTGCCAGTGCCATTAGCAAATTCTCCACAGTTGAACAAATTGTATTATTTAAGCATATGTATTTTTTTTTTCGTTTAGCTTGCCATATATCGAAACAACAATGAGATTCCACCGATTTGTTAGGACGCGATCTCCCTTCCGAGGGAGGGTAAACATTAAGTTTTTCAGTGCTAGTCCGAGTGCTTTTAGGTTAAGACGTGAGGAAACTCTCATTTTTTCAATAGATACGATAGCCGGCAATAGACCAGTGAAGAATACATTACATAACATTACGAAACAGGAAAGTCACTTTTAGCGAGAATGGAAATTTATTTAAAAATGCTAGGAAACGAAACTATCCTCTAATTTTCGAAACAAAAAATAACACAGTAAGGAACGAAAAGGCTTTAATTAATTAACAATAGTCGTTAAGCAAATGTTGAGAGAAATTTTCGACGGAAAGGAAAAGTTATTGAAATTAATGTTTTATTTTTGCCAAATAACACACACACACACATTTTTGTTTACTTTTATCGCATTTCTTTTTATTCCGTCAATTTTGTTTTGTTTTCACACATCTCGCCCTAAAATCCATAAAATTTTTATTCGACGCTGTATTTATTCTTTTAACTCCTACTGATAGTGCATAATTTCCTACCTATAAGGAACGATTTTTCAATAAAAAAAAGAATAAAGCATACATTCCACAAACATTCTTTAGTTGTTTTAATTTTTCCTCCTTCCTATTTTCTCTGCTGTTCGCCCGTTTTAAATGATTTTTTTCAGTTCGCTCATTCTACACCGTTCGCACGATCGCAGATTTTTGGTTCGGCATGGATCTGCCAACAACAAAAGAAAAACTCAACGCGTAGAACGGGCAGTGTTGCCAGATTGGCTCGCCCGAAAATCCAAGGTGCAAAGAATTGCTACAAAGAAGTAACCAGTTGGTGCATTCATACGAAACAAGTAAATCAGGACCTGACATTATCTTTTTGTAGTGCAAGTAGTGAAAATCGGACGATGGATTTCAAAACAAAATGTGAGAACGAAACGTAAGGGAAACCGAGTGTGACTATTGATTATTTTTTGCAACGTGACAGTTGCCACCATAGGTAGTAGCTAGGGAATATTTAGGACAAACTGCTGACGAGGGCAAGAGAGCAGTGATGAGGTAAATTTACAGGTTCAAATGGCCTTAAACGTCTAACATGTATCAGTGACACTAGGTGATGCTCATCTGCCAAAAAAAAATACAAACATACATTGCATGTAGCCCCAGAGAGCTCTGTAGTGAAGGCTTGAGCTCCAAATAGAAAATTTGCTCTTAAAATCGGCCTATAGTGAAACCATAACAGAACAAAACTCGCTACAGTTATTGAAGAAATAAAAAAAAAGTATACAAAGTAACTTCTTAGAAAAAATAAAAAAAAAATTAACAAATCAAAGTTATTTGAAGAGAGAGTAAAATATTTAAACGACCTGTGAGTGATTCATGCATACGGGATATTGGCTCTCATAACATCATGCAAAAAGTCAAATGAATTCCGAGGAATGATGTCAATTTACAAACGTTGATCAAATCAAACAGCACAAAATTTGCAACGAAAGACCTTATGCATCAAATGCTCACACGTGAAGAGATTCTCTCACCTTAGAAAAGAAAGGAAATCTAAACATTTTTTGGATGTTACTTATCTCAAATCTGACATTTCTAGACATTTCAGAAATACCGGCAACCGTGTAAGCTATTCTCTAGCATGTAAGCGAAATGAATATAAGATATATATATTTTAAATAACTATGTACCGTAAAGCTAAGATGTACTGTTCATTGTACTAGATAGATTCAAAATTACGATTCATTCTATTGGTGACAAATGCGAAAACAATAAATTATACCATTTTGATTAGATAGAGAGTCAACATGCACCGGAAAAAAAATGATTATCAAAATCATAGATGTCATAATCAGTCACCGATCAAAGTCAGATGTCATTTTCAATTGCGTTTATTATTTTCATCGTGACATTACTCAGCCCAGTGAAAAAATCATCGCTGTCATTATGAGGGAAAGCAGTACAAACAAACATTATTGATACAAAATCATACACACTTTCCAATCTGGCCATTAAGAAAATTTTGAAATGGATATACCACCTCTAATTACGTAAAAAATATATCACTTATTTTTGGAAATTGTTTGCGATTTAGATATTATAAACGGTCGATACAATTACACACTGGGAGAAAAATTAAACCATTCATTAGATGTACTCTTCTATTTATATACCACGCTACCAGCATTTTGGTAGGATCAACTGATTGTTAATGATAAGCACGAGAAAGAACAAACAAAAATCATCCTAAAACGTAAGAAAAACACAGTTCTAAAATGTGCAATCTGTTGAAATCGGAACTCGAACAAATTGGTAAGAATTTAACAAAAAAAAAAACAAGAAAACCATTCTAATCATTAGGATTAAGATTTAAGAAAAAACTGCAAGAATCTGGTTGTAAAAACTATCCTTCATAAAATCTATACAATATAAATTGCTCTCTGATATATAAACTCATCGATCGGTTTTATGAGTTTTGTCCGTTTTTTGATTGTTTTCCTGTACCGAGACAATTTGTAATGGATCCTGACTAAGATACTGTGAAATACAAATAAAATATTGTTGGAAGAAAAATAATTGATGCTGGTGTTTTCATTCGATAGTAAGGAACGTCCCCCGAGCAATGGTTCTCTTATATTCCGATGGTGACACTGACTGCTGGTTCGAACCCGGGTTCGAACTTTTTACTCCACTTCGCTTCATCATGCCAAGCTGAACATCGCATCAGGTCCTAAGTAACATTGACAGATTCTCTTCGTCGACCTTCTCTTTGTATCCCCATGGCCATGTAAAGACATTCCCAGGTATTTTCAGCACACATATCGATAAAAAATCCTTTTATCTAGCATCTAATACTAAGGCTTGTACTCGAAAAAAATGCACCGTGTGTAACTTTTTTATCCGTGGGTAAAAATTGATGAAAATCTGGATATAACTAGTTTAGAGTGTTTACAAT